GGGGCGTGGCGGTTGGGCTTCGTCGCCCTGCCGCGGCAGCAGTCGGGACTTCGTTCATGCCGCAGCAGTCCGTGTCCCTCGTCCTTGTCCCCTGCCTCCAGGAGCCTCTGTGCCCACGAGGGCCCTGCGCAGGAGAGATTCCCCAGCCGCCTCTGCCTAGATCCCCGCCTGTTCACCCAGGCCTCTGTCCTGCACATCCCCACCCCCGAGGAGACGGCGAGGTGTCAGCAGACACAGCTGCTCAGGCTGGTGCCCAGACGAGGCCCTTCCCCAGGAGCAGGTAAGGAGCGCTGGCTCGACCCTGTCCCGCAGCAGGAGGCAGCGTCCCTCAGCGGAGAAATCTCTGCCGCAGCGTTTTGGTGGGGTCAGTGCTCCAACAGACGGGATGTCCTTGTTCCCCCCGTGCCCCTGGAAGCATTTCACATGCCCTGGGGAAGATGGACCGGGCATTTCTCCTCCCAGCCCCTAATATGTGGATGTGACACGGCACCAACGTCCCTCCAGCTCCTGTGCCAGGGAGCCATGTCCCTGCAGGCTCTGACGTGGCGCTGTGGTCACCGCCCCGCGCTGGGACAGAGTTATTGGGTCTCATCTTCATCCTCGTGCCCATAGACGTCTGTTAGCAAGAGCTGTGGGACTTTGAATCTTTCTTCTCCCCACTCTCCACGCAAGGAAACCCCTGTTTACCTTGGTCCCGGGCCAGCGCAGGAGAATAGCAGGGCTTTCCCCATGCCAGCAGCACCAGGGCTAACCTGTGCCTTCTCTTCCCCACCCGCAGGTGCTGGGACCCTGCGCAGGTCTGAGCCGAAGCCTCCCGGACAAGAAGCTGCAATCCTGGAGCTGCAGAGGACTTCCCCAGGGAGACAGGAGGAGATGGGCTCCCTGACATGTGAGCTGGGCCAAATGCAGAAGGGGCAGGGCAGGCCTCCAGAGCAACAGGTGAGCAGGGCACCAGGATCATTTGGGTGGGAGTACAGCTGGGGCAGAGCCCAGGAGGAGTCAGGGACAGTATAAAGATTATGGAGAGCGGTGAGCCCTGAAGAGCATCAAGCCTGTGGTGATGGAGGCTGCAAACACACCAAGCTGCATTAGCAGGAGCTCCCTCCCAAGTGCAGGGAGCCAGGGGCACTGGCATGGGAAAGCCTGGTCAGGGCGCATGGAGCCGGGGCTGCCTGACACTGGAAGTGGTGCCCAGGCTGCCTCCAGGGGCCGAGCAAACACAAAGTACTGAGCTGGGCTAAGGCCGACACCTGAGCTCCTGTGTCCACAGCTGCATCCCA